AATTTTCTTTCCCCTAGGTTTATGAAGGCCTAGACATCATCACCAACAAGGTTTCTGCCCAAGAGCAGAGAATGTGCCAGCACCACATGATCAGCATTGTGGATCCTCTCATGACAAATTACACAGTGGTGGACTTCAGGGACAAGGCAACTGCTGTGATATCCTTAGGAAAGACAGCAGCTAGGCTTGGTGGGGGCAAGGCAGCCCAGGCCAAGAAAGTTTTCTTTCTAGTTACAGTTTCTTCTAAGCAGGGGCACCCAGGACCTACCTATCAGTAGGTAGCATCCCCATCAGTACTATGTGGTTTGAAAGATACAGCTTCATTGCTACTCAGAGTCCTGTCCTCAAGCCTGCAGCATCAGCATCCCTTCAGAGCTTGTTAGAAATGCTGAATTTGGGCCTCACTCCAGACCTACTGAATCAGATCTGCATTTAACAAGAGTCCCGGGTGATTCATATGCACATTAAAAATTGAGAAGCTCTGTTTTAGTGGAGAGAACATTGAGGAACCAGAAAGTCTGTGTTCTAGTCTTATAACCACCTCTTTTGACCATGTGAATTTTATTGAGAAAAGCATTTACCCCACTGAGCTTCAGTTTTCTATCCTTTAGATGGGGATATAAAATAAGTATAATGGAATTCCAGTTAGAATTTCAAAGGGATTGTTGTAGGAGGGGCCAGAAAAAAATAGTTCTGGGTAACATCAAGAAATTTTTGAAAAAAGAGCAATATAAGGGGGACTGCTTTTATATTTTTTTATTTTTATTTTTCCCCCCTCTTTAATCTCCCTACCCCAGCTTCCGCCCCTGACCCATGGATGTTGCCGTTTTCCCTTAAGAACTCTGAAGGTGGATCTCTGAAGGTGGGGCGTCCCCTCTCAATGCTCGCGCCGTGCACCCAGGGCCTGGTGCACCCAGGACCTGACACCCCCAGCACACTTGGGGGGCCTGGCGCACCTGGGGCCTGGCACACCTGGATATGGTCCGTGGCTCCACCTGGGGCATGAACCCAGGACCTTCTGCATGCAAAGGAGATATGCTAACCACTACACTATGGAGTCACCCCTGCCTTTATATTTTTATGTTCAGACTGCCTTTAATATTTGGACTGCTAGATAGTAAAGCATATTGAAAATTCATAGTAATTATAATAACATGGATCTTATATAATACTGGACAAATGTATGGCACAGAATAGAAAACTCATACAAATTCAAAGGAATGTATATATTTAGCTTGTCAAGGTGGCATTTCAAAACAATGGAGAAATAATTCAGTAGTTAATAATTATTCCTGAGACAGTTCATTGTTTTTGAAAAAAATAAAATTAGGTCCTCATTATATATGACATAACTTCAGATTTCAGAGTTAAATATATGTTTTTCTAATGAAACTTTAAATCAGATGGGATAACATGTACTTGAGTAGTTATGTGATTTTAAAGTAGGAAAGGGCTTTGTAGACATTTTTTATTTTATGTTTTTTTGTTTTTTTGTGTGTTAAAATACACAACATAAAATTTATTATCTTAACTATTTTTAAATGTACAAGTTCAGTGGCATTATATGCATTAATATCATTGTGCAGCCATCATTGCTATCTGTGCCTGTAATAGTTATTTTTTTAAAAAGGAAAATAACGAGTCGAATATGTAAGAATTAAGAATTTGTATTGGCAAGAATATATATCAAGCAGAACTCCTAGTTATCTACCCTAGAAAAACATTGCCACAAGCATATCAGGGGATATGTGGTAGATCTCATTGTATAATGCATTACTCTTAACAGCAAAAACACGTAAACACTGAAATTCCTACTTACAGAAGAATATATAAAATTTGCTTTGTTCATATAAGTTAAGCACTTTTTCAGCAGTGAAAATGAATGAATTGTAGCTATATCAATGTAGAAGAATTTTAGAAATAACAAATTTGAGAAATTTTAGAAAGATGCATACATGTTCATACCATTTATTATAAAGGTTAAAGGCAAACAAAACCATATATTAATATATTGTTATATATTATATATAGTATATATTAATGTATTCTTTAGGGGTACATCAGTAATAAGTTGCGGAAAAACAAGGGAATAATGAGAAAAAAAACTTAAAATAATTGAAGATAGTGAACAATTCAGAGAGAGGGGAAGTTGGGAGTTGGGATGGGAATGAATACACAGAAACTTCAGAGGAATTAATAATATTCTTTTTCTTACATAGGGTCACAAGTATTTGTTTTATTACTAGGCTTCATAATTTACATATGTTAATAATGTTCTTATATATAGAATATTTTATAATAAAAGGAAAACAGCCCATTATAAACAAAATTAAAAAAACAGACTACAAAGCAGGAGAAAAATATTTGTAACATAGGAAAAGCAAATGGTTAATATGCTTAATATGTGAACAACTCTTATGAATCAGTATGAAAAATAAAGGTCATGAGTAGTAATTCACAAAGGAAGAAATATAAATGTTGATAAACATGAAAGGGGGTTTACCCTTGCTGTTAATCAGGACCATGCAAATCAAAATAATGAGATAATATTTTTTGCCTCTCAAATGGGCAGAGATTAAAGTGCCGATAATTCTTGCCTTACCTGCTTTATAAGGCAGTCGTATCAGATAAGATAATGTATATGGAAGCCCTTTGCAAATTAAAATGTATCACCAAATGTACATTATTGCTGAGACACTTTTGTTGTTCAGAAATAAAAAGATAGAAAATGGAGAGCTAATTAAAATTTTCAAAGAGCAGCAACAGGGAATGACAGATTACTTATAGAATTGGAGATTTAATGAATTTAGGTAAGAAGTACAATCAGAACCATCAAAACTGAAAGTACCAAAAACAAACAAACTGAAAGTACCTTAAGAAGTATCCAATTAACCTTCTTGATTTGACAGGTAAAAGTACTAGATACTGAGGCCCTAAGAGGAGAAGGCTTTTGCTCAGGATCACAGTAGTTTCATGGCTTGGGCAAACAAGTTAAACTTCTTCCCACCACATACCTCCTATCCCATTTCCCTCCCTATTTTCCGCTCTCCTGGTATCTCACCGTTTTTAAACTTTTATTTTCTTTGTTCTCTTTCTCTCTGTTAATCATATTATATATTTAAAGTTTTATTATAATTACTGCATAATTGTATGCTCTCTTAAAGGGAGAATAGAGAATTTCTCTTTAAAAAAACACAAATATGTAATGATTATTCTATGTGATCCTTGATTGCTAACATCTTTCCACCCCACCCCAACATCTTAAGGATTAGTGGGCTTCTGATAGAAAGAGGTCATTTATGCCTGTGCCCACAGACTGGCCTGTAAGGGGAAGAAGTGTTAAAGGAGTCTTAGCTTGGGTTGAAAGTCTCTTTTTATCCGTTATTCTCAGAAGCAAAGCCCTTCTTAGAGCAGATAATATCTGTTCAACAGAGATTCTAAAGAGAATTCAGAGTAGCAGAGAGATAAAAACAGTAGTGACTAAATTGAGTGCTTACTCAATTGAAAAAATATTTCAGGTATTGTGGTTGGAGATTTATTCTCATTGTCACATTTAATGCTCATTAGAACTCATGAGGATTTTATAGGTAAGAAAACTGAAGCTCATACAGGTTGATTAACAAGGCCTAGAACTGGAGCTGGTAATTGAAATCTATTTGTCTTTAGAACCAGTGCTTCTCTTTTTATCTGGTGCAGTCTAAAGTGGCTAAAATGTGCACTACTGCCACATACATAATGGTGAAGACTGAGTCTAAGAACCATGGTTTAGAGAAACCGGCTCGTATTTTGCCCTAGAAGGCAAAGTCACACAATGTAAGTCACTTTGGTGGCTTCCTGAGCAGCTGACCCTCAGTCCTGTGAGAGACCTTGGGCTTATGCTTATTAAGCTGATTTAGAATACTAAACAAGCTATGAATTTTAGCAGCAAGGCCTACAAAGTTCTAAAACTGGAGGGAATTACAAACATACCTCTGTCTCTGATTTACACAGTCCCTCCTGAACTGAAAGGAAATGATTCGGAAAACTCATGGGAAACAGTTAAAACTAATATCAATTCATTTTGGTTTCTATCCTTTCTCTTCTGCTCTCCCGACAAATGAATGTGGTTTCTTGTTAATACCCTACTTCCTGAGTGAGTCAGGATTCTCTTCTTGATATTAAATATTGTGATGTCTTTCTTAATACTCACATTGAAGATATATTTGCCCGAAACAAAATTCCTATTGTCGTGGGAGGAACCAATTATTACATTGAATCTCTGCTCTGGAAAGTTCTTCTCAGTGCTAAGGTATGTTTACTTCACTTGTAACTCACTGAGGAAATGGGTTCTTCTTTCTTGACAGCTAATTTTAGTGGGAGGAAGGTTGACTCTTGCCTATTTTTTATACTCAGCAACTGTAATTTTCCTACTTTATATTCTGAAGCAAATGCTACCTCCATATGTGAAGTGTGCTCCTCCAGGCAGGCCTCAGGGCAGGGGCTGTCTGTGGGAAAAATGTTCCTCTGTGGATTAATTAGCATCTCCATGTAAGTTAACAATACATTAGTCTGATTCAGCATTTCCTGATTGTAACTATCTGTGTGTCAGGGAGATAGCAAACCTTTCTTATAAAGATGCTTGCTATTGCATAAGGTGGAACTTTGCAAACTATAATGTGCTGGCCATTTTGATTGACTTTTTGTTCACGCTTGCTGACTAGACTCCTGGATGTGTTAATATAGACATGTTAGCCCTGGTACCTGTTTGTACTTCCAACAAGGAAGCAGAGTATCTGAGTATTTCCCCAGACAGTAATTCGTCCTTTCTTTTAGTTTGCTGTGGCTTCACAGCACTACCACAGTGTATGAGAATTTTCTGTTTATGATCTGTCTCTCACTAGATCTTCTGATTCATCTCTATTCTGTATTCCTAACACTTGGCCAAATGCCTGACATATACATTGTCTTCAGTATTTGTTGAATTGTTCAATTAAATTTACTTCTAAACCTTCATTTAATAGCCCCAGGAGATGGGCACTGAGAAAGTGATTGACCGGAAAGTAGAGCTTGAAAAGGAGGATGGCCACATACTTCACAAACGCCTAAGCCAGGTGGACCCAGAAATGGCTGCCAAGCTGCACCCACATGACAAGCGCAAAGTGGCCAGGTAAGAAATCCTGGGCCTGCCGACCCCGGATTCCTTTAGAGTTAGAGGGCAGTCAGTTCTTCATTGTGCCTAGGTGATGAGAGAGAGGCTGGGTAATGGTAGTTTATGGAGATTGATGTGTTCTAGTTCATCAGGTTGAGGCCTTGTGTTATTGCCTCAGTCCAACTCCCTCACTAAGTAGTTGCACCCTACTTTGTTGTTATATTTAAAATGCATAATACAGTAGTTTTCCCTAGGGCCTATGTAGTCTTGCTTCATTTTCTATTTGATCTTTGCTTGTATAACATTTTTCATATAAATTTTTTCTGGCATGCAGTTGGTTTACATTGTGACTTAGGTTTCATAATTGATTGTGTAATGCTGAGTTCTGCCCCAGTGGCTTTCCCAGTGAGAGGTAGACAGTTTCGTAAACTGTCTCATAGATCAGCTCACCTTTACTCGTGGAGATTTTCTTGAAGGGAAGAGAGAGGTGGTGAATGAACTCTTAAGTCATGTTTTCTTAAATTCTTTTGAGATTGCAGTGTTGTGTGTTAGGTATATTTTTCTGCATTGTGGAAGTGGTACCATATCTGGCAGAGGATCTAACAAAGTATCTCCTGTATGGATGGTTATACAGATTAAATATTGCAGCAATGTCTGGTATTATGAAGTATTCCATTCAGATGAATGATCTAGACCATGTTTCTTCTTTTTTCATTATTGCCCCCCACCTCATCCAGAAGCCTTTTTAGAAATTTTTTTCCTAATTGTACTTACTTCCATCTCCATATGGGGTCCATGAAATTTTACTGAAGAATAAGATTTTTAGGGGGGAGGGGTGTATGGTTGCCCTTTGGAGGGCCACACACCTTGTAATATCTAAGGGTTTTTTTCCCCTTTGAGGGCATTGTCACCCTGGTGATAATGCATATTTTAGATAAATGAAATTTATACTTTATAATATCCAAACCTTTTATTTAAACATTCTAATAAAAATTTTTGGAAAACAGGAATATTATGATAAACGTACATTTATTTTTACAGTGTTTTATGATATTATTCTAGAGCTTCGTCTTTATTATCTTCTTTTATTAATCGATTCTTATCACCTCTCATTTTGCTACTTCTAGACTAGTTAGTAATGAGTTGAGAATTACATCTTTGTATGAGTCAGTAGGTTCTAAGCAAGAGCTCTAGAGTCTCTCTTTTGGAGAGGATTGGAGGACCTTTTTCATCTTTCTTTTAGTTTCAGCCTATATTCTAACCTCCAGATAAGTAAGCTTGATATTACTATACATTTTTTCCTCATAGGTCCTCTTCGAATGACCAGTGATACAGAATGACAAGGGGCCTCTACACTTGTGTTAGGGTTTCAAGAAGTAGAATTGGGTCAGGAAGGGAAAGATCACTTTCAAGCTGATAAGTTGCAATCACCCAGAGTGGTAGAGTATAGATTTGAGAGTTAAATTACCTATGCTGCATAACATAATAGATAACTGAGACAGTGGATGGGGACTTAAGAATAAGTATGTGAGTTTTTTCTTTGGTGATCTTTGTGCTAGTAGAGTACCGAATTAGTCAGAAGCATTCTTCATTAATTTTAGACATATTTAAAAAGAAAGTTGATGAGCTGGATATACAACATACTTTGTACTGTGGGAAAGGCATTCCAGCGAGACTAGACTTGTTGGCTTGTAACAAAGTGTCCCAAACAAGCTCTTTTACTGCTTACCTGAAAGTGAGTGATTCCCATTCTGTTTGTGTATAAGAAACCTGTTGTTTCTGAACCTGTTTAACTGATTTCAGAAAAATTTATTTGTGTTTAGAAGAATAGTATTATTTCTTACTTTATCTAAAGTAGAATTGCAGTAACCCTGGACCTTCATGTCTTTAGGGGCTTATGCACTGAAAATGAGAATGAGATATTCTGAAATAGCCTCTTTTCTTGTTTCAGTTGAGAATAGTTTTTATGGTTGTGCCCTCCCACCCCCCACCCCAAATGACTTAGGAGCTTGCAAGTGTTTGAAGAAACGGGGATCTCTCACAGTGAATTTCTTCATCGTCAACACGCAGAAGAAGGTGGTGGTCCCCTTGGAGGCCCTCTGAAGTTCCCTAACCCTTGCATCCTCTGGCTTCATGCTAACCAGACAGGTAAAAAAGCCCTTTGATGCCCTAGAGTTTGTCTGAGATAGAGCTTTTAGTAATACATTACTATATATGAAATTCTTAGAACCGTAATAATAAGCTCATTAATTTTACTTTCATTACCATTATTTTCGACTTGGTAAGGTGCAATGTTATTTGCCTAAGTGTATGTCTGGAAAGGGAGTAAGGGCAGCTCTGGCACTAGGATAAGATACCAAAAGTGGGATGATATGGGATGAATGGGATGGAAAAGAGACTGGCATCCAGGGAAGATCCAAAGGAGAAAGAGAAGGAAGGCTCCTGTGGAAGAGGTCTGACTCCCTGAGTTGGCTGAAGGCTGGATCACTGATTATTCTAGAAGCAGTGTAAGAAGTGGGTATGATGGTTAGCTAATTAGCCTGATGTTGTTTTTTGTTTTTTGGTTTTTTGCTAAAATATAATAATGCCCTGTGATAGTAGTAATTTCTTTATCCAGTAAACATTCAGTAAGCATTCAGTGAAGTATCAAGTATTCTGCGTAATACTTGGATTTCAGAGATATCCAAGTATATGAGATAGTGCCTGCTCTTAAGCTCCCAGTCTAGTGGGGCAACAAATAAGATAGATACTACATTGTGATAAATGCTGGGCTATAAAGTGGGCCACAAAGAAAGGGTGATAAGCATTCTTTGTGGAGAGTCAAGGACCAATTTGTAAAGTAACCTGTGAGCTAGGTCTGGACAGATGAGATTATTATGACAACAGGCAATATAGTGTAATTATAGTGTAGAATTAGCACATTCTCTAAGCCAGACTGGATTCAAATTCCTATTTCACCATCTTCTAGCGATGTGAGTTTTAAGACAAGTTAATTTAACTTTCTGTGCCTCAATTTCCTGTTCTATAAAATGGAGATAATGATAGTATATATCTCATAGCTTTATTGAGGATTAGGTGAGTTAATACGTACAAAGCACTCAGAATGTGCCTGTCACATTGTGAGTCCTCAGTAAATGCAAACTTTTTAGGAAGATAGAAAAAAGGGTTAGTATCATTGCATGCCAAGAAATAGCAATGGCAGAGACATAGAAGAGCATGACTGAAATGGTGAAAATTTGTTACTAATCTCAGTTATAAGTTTATAGAAAAAGAATTTTTAATAATTAAACATTTATAAATAACATGTACAATTCAGCATAAAATAATGGCATCTGATTTATAAAAATAAAGCTGTGTTTGACCACCACATCAAATGATTATGACCTCTCACTCTTTGCTCCTTTGGGTCAATCGTTCAAAATATACTTAGGATGGCTTTGGACTAAAGTTCCTCATTCCTATCCAAGATGTCATCTGAGAGTTCTTAAATGTAAAATAACACAAAGAGTAACCAATATAATGGGAAAAAGTAAGAAGGATAAACCAGGGGGCTCTCAGCTGCCTCTAAAATAAATAGTAAATATACATTCCATATGAGAAGAAAATATTTGTCCCTCCTAATAGCTGTAATTACGTGCTTTGATTTTTATAGCAAAGAGACATGTGTTTCATTCTGGCTGTTTTTATTGGAGTTGCAGAGTCTTAAGTGTGTCTGTAATATGAATTATTATATAATCCTTGGACTCTGAACCCTTTCTTCCATTTGAACAAATTCTGCCTTTGTGGCAGCCTACCCTTTCATCATGTAAATGTTTAGGACACACCTACTGATGATGGGCTAATTTGATTCAAGTTCTAGATGAGCGCTTGGATAAGAGGGTGGATGACATGCTTGCTGCTGGGCTCTTGGATGAACTAAGAGATTTTCACAGACGCTATAATCAGAAGAAAGTTGCAGAAAATAGGTAAGGTTTTGACTATTATTTATTACTTTCACCTACTCTCCATCCCTTGCTTATGGTTAAAAAGTCTATAAAACATAATGCTGGCTTTGGATCTACTTGTTTGTTAGCCTTTGTCTTTGGTATTGGCAAGGCTCATTGGAAGGAGGTTTGGTGTACTTGTTATAGTTACAATTTTCTAAACTGCCAAACATTCCCAGGTGTTAATTTTCAAGGGAAGGAACCTGGGAGCTGATGGAGGGTAGGGGTGGGGGTGGAAGAAGGATTTCAGAGAAGCAATAACTACTAATGATCTCAATTTCCTCATCTAAGGGATGAAAGGTTTTACTTCAGCTAGATCATCTCCAAGGCCACTGCTAGCTCTCAGATGCAATGGCTCATCTGCTGATGCTCTCCTGTTCCCAGCCAGGACTATCAACATGGTATCTTCCAATCAATTGGCTTCAAGGAATTTCACGAGTACCTGATCACTGAGGGAAAATGCACACCAGAGAATAGTAACCAGCTCCTAAAGAAAGGTGTGAATTCCTCCATTTAACCTAGCCTTGGACATCCTTTGGTGACAGAGTACCCTGCTGGTATGATCTGAGAAAGAGCTAAGGCTAGAAGAGTCCCAAATGGCTTTCAGCTCATAACTGAGATTTTTGTTTACCAAGTGTCCGCCAGTGTGCTGCTGTGGCTGATTTTCTCTTCTGGGCCGGGTGGGCCTGCCTTTCAGCAGAGTGAGAATTACTTACTTAGAGGCTCTTATATTTACCTTGTGTTTCAGGTATTGAGGCTCTGAAACAAGTGACTAAGAGATATGCCCGGAAGCAAAACCGATGGGTTAAAAACCGTTTTTTGAGCAGTAAGTCTCATGTTTTTCCTTATCCCCGGGTCTCTTTTCAGTGGAATATAGATGTCCTCAGCTCACCTGAAAAATGAACTTTAGTTTCTGGACCTGTTCTAAGATTGGAGACCTGACTTGGGGGAGGATCTATTGCATAAATGATTTCCCAGGGATATTTTTTTGTGATGTCTCAGAAAACAAATTAAATCTTTCCAGTAAGGAGTCTGCCTTAATCCTTGAACACATGCGTGCTGGCTGCAAACAGGTAAGAGCAAAATAGCAGCATCTTAGCAGAGTTGGTACTCAGAGTTGATTTTAGCTTCAAATTTTGTGCCTTAAGAGCAGTCAAATTTCTGAAGGAAGGCTTTCCTAATTAAGGTGGTTCTTGGGTCAGATGAGCTGTATAAAAGGACAGAACCTTTACCAGTTCTCCCAGCAGCACCTTTGTGTTCAGATATATGGTGCTTCAGGTGACTTCAACTTTATAACTTTAGTTGAACAACACTTGTAAGGAAAGGGGAAGGGAAATCTCATTCATCTGACCCTGTATTGAATCCTTGGCAATACATTTTGGGCTATAAATAAATTATTGAGCCTTTGAGGTTGGTATTATTCTTTTCTTTTTGCAGATAAAGAAGTGGAGACTTAGGTTAAATAACTTGGCAAAAATCCCTTAGCTAATAAGCTGCAAAATATTGAATGCGGGCCTGGTGCTGGAGCCCACACTCTGCTTTTTACCACTCTTCTTGTTTCCTTTAGCTATAACTAGCTAGACAACATTACTATTGGCCTCGGCTAAGAAACTGTGTGCTTATGAGCTAAAAAGGAGATTAAGCCTAAGTGAAACTCCAGTTTTATCTTGTGGACACTTTTCAAATTATGCTTCTGAATCATCCCCCTGTGTAACTTTTACTTCTGCTTTCAGGTAGAGACGAGGACAGCAGAGGCCTCTACCCCTGCTCCTCAGTGCTTCTGAACATAAACACCGTAATTCGTGTTGTTGACCACCAGATTGCTGAAACTCTCTCTCCCAGCTCTCACTCTCTGACAGAGCTCTCCAGTGTAGTTCTGGCGCCAAGTGACTCTTTACACTTCCTTCTTACCCTGCATTCTCTACATGTTCTGTTAGAAGAAGTCTGAGTTAGCTGAAATTGAAGTTTACTACTACAAATTTCTAATGGCAGCTTCTCTTTTCCCCAAGGCTAACAATTAGTTTGTAACAAAAGATGTTTTTTGTAATGATTTGGAACTTCCTCCTGTGGTAAAGCCACAATAACTCCCCCATCTCTGAGTCAGGAGGGGTTGATGGCACAGTGCATCATATTCCCATTCCTCATTCAGGCATATGCCGGCAGAGTCCTGGTGCTAGAGTGAAAGGCACAGCTGCCCTGTAAATCAGGAGCCGTGTGTGATTGGCCATGGCTGGTCTGCTGGGATATGGCTCTGGCAAGAAGCCAGAGGGACTTCCCCACCCCAGCTTGGCCTTGGACTCAAGCCAAGAATAGCAGCTGGGAGCCGAGAACTTGTTGAAAGGTGCTTAGACGGGGCACAGAAGCCCAACAAAGGACTTAGAGGGGAAAGGAAAATATAGAGTGGCCTGGAAACAGGTGCAGAGCTTAGCCAAGGCCAGGTGTGCTGTGGATGCTGCCTGCACCTTCCCGGTCTCACCTTTCCATGTGGTGGCAGGTGGAGCCCAGTCCAGTTTACGAAGAATCTTATTTGTGGTTGGCACAGTCAAAAGGCCAGCACCTGCCAGCCGTTGGCATCCTGAAGACTTTGATGTTTTTGTCTATGGGGCAGTGCTCTTCGCCTTTAAGACAACTGACTTAAGCTAGCTGTGGAAGGCAATTTAGTGTGTCCATGGACTGGGTAAGCTACTAGCAGAGAATAAACATGGTTGGCTTAGATGGATGAAATGCCTGTAACTATACTCCTGGCTACCTCTAGTCTCATCTCCATTCAGAAGTACTTCAGGCTATTAGTTTATTGCCTTCTATGGTGTGCTCTCTTTATACCTTATCCCACACAGCGGCTACTAGAACTGTTACTCTATGTTGTTTTCCTGACTAATTTGGAAGATCCTACACCTGAGATGCTGGACTTGTTGGCTGCAGATTATACAACTAGACTTGTTGGCTGCAGACCCATCAACCATCTAAGTCTTCCTATGTAGCTGTTTGTTTCATTTTTCTGGTTAGAATGAGTGGCATGGTCAGAATGTTTATTTCTTTTACCTCCATTTGTTTCCCTTGAGGATTTTGGAGTTCTGGGAGCAGAATAGATATGGTCTTGGGTGCTGACCTCTCACAACTTTTCTTTGTCATCATTAGGACCTGGTCCTGGTGTCCCCCCAGTATATGGCTTAGAAGTATCCGATGTCTCAAAGTGGGAAGAGTCTGTTCTTGAACCTGCTCTTGAAATTGTGCAAAGTTTCATCCAGGTGATTATTAGTCATGGTACTGTCTATTGTCTTGTTTCAGAGAGCTTTCCTTAGCTTACACCTTTGTTGCTATGCTAGGAACCAAGTTTTTTCCATGCAATAGAACAGAAGGGCTGGCTGCTTTTAGATCCCTGGAGGCTGCGTTTCTACTTTCACATTCAGAAAGGTTGTTACTAAAATCTGTTCACAGCCCACCAGTTCTCTGGGATGAGAAAAAGGAATCTTGGGAAATCCCACTCTCCGTAATATCAGAAACCGTTATCCAATCTCTTTGAATTGAATGCTTCTCCCCCATTCCCCTCTTGTTCTTTCAGGGCCATAAGCCTGCTGCTGCTCCAGTAAAGATGCCATGCAATGAAACTGAGAACAAGAGAAGTTATCACATGTGTGACTTCTGTGATCGAATCATCATTGGGGACCGCGAATGGGCAGGTAGATTCTGGGGAAGGGCACAGAGAAATCGTGAAATTTAAGGTCTTTGCTAGGTTGAATGTTGGAGTCCGCTTGTTTGTAAAGGGAGGGCCAGATTCCTTTGAGAGCCTGTACTCAAATTTCATGGATGCCTTCCCAAATTGAAGAGTTATCTGTATTCTGAGTTTCAAAGGAAGATTATATGCCCTCTACCTTTAGCTAGAGTAGATATTTTATACTGAAATGTTTGCAGTTAACTTTCTAGAGCTCCTTTGACTTTCATGATCCTGCCTTATAGGAGTTCCTTGGCCTTTCATGTTTAGACCTCAGTGGGGTGAGGTAGGACTGTAAGGGAAGCCAGGCAACTCACCTAAGAGACCAAAGAAGCAGAAACAGCTGAGAGGGAGCCAGAAGCGCATTTACTTTCCCTGAGCATATTTCTTCAGAAATGGTGTCTCTAGTAATTTTTAAGGTAATATATTGATATAGTGGTGGTTGCTAAAACTAATGAGAAGTGTTAAGGGAAAGTTTGTGAAAGCAAGACTGTCAGACGTATATAAAGAAGGCGATTAAGGGTAGTATCTTTTTTATACGATACTTCTGACCAATTTGGGGTCTGCCCTGCCTGAAGGTTCTGTCTCTCTTGTTTTAGAGTGTGGATCTGCCTCTGCCACAGAGTCACACTGTATTCTACTGTCGGATTTCTGTAGTCATCCAGTGAAAGCTCCAAGCCTTGAATTTATACCATATTTAGAAACTTGTTTAAGGCTCACTCCTTTTAGGCACAGTAGGGCTTATAGTTTACTCAGTGGCTAGAATCCTTCTGTTCAGAGTACTGCTTTGCATGGGATTCTCACAGAAGTAGGTTTTTCTACCCATGCAACCAATAGAATGATTAGTTCTATTAACTGGTAACCCTGGCAAAATGAACTCCATTGTCAGAGACTGGGGATGGCTGTGATTGCCCAAGCAGCAGAAGAAACCTCAATTGTGGTTGGTTTATAATGATGAAAGGGGAAGAAAGAGGGTCTGATTGTTTTTTCTCAAGGAACCTTAGTGGTTCA